AGGTTGGAGCTTCACTTGGAGGTAAAAAGCTCAAAGCTTTCCTTGTCATTCTTGTTTGTGCTTTATGGACCAACTTTTAGGGTTTTTGGTCCCAAGGTGGAGACTTTATGAGCAAATGGTCTCCATAAGCTTAGATCTGCCCTATTTCAGTGTAATATGTGTTGTAGGTTCATAAAAATCCAATCTTGGACGTTCAGATTAAGTCATGCATGAGATTAGGGCTTAATGGGGAAAGAGGATATATGTTTGAAGTGATTGGTGACCCTTGCAGCCATGCAAAGGCTTAAAGGTTTCGACTTTATGACTTTAGAGACAGTAGGGAGCTTAGATCTGAGATATGAGCCTAGGTCTTAATCTATTCAGACAAAAAATGAAGGAAGTAGGAAACTGGGACTCATGTTGGGCGTAATCCCAGTACGCGCTGCGTAGGGGGTTGAGTTCCCCGATTCTGGATGACACGGAGTACGCCCCGCGTACAGATCTGGTACGCGCAGCGTACCTCCCCACAGTTGACTTTCGTTGACTTTTAGGGTTTGGTCAACGCTTGGACTTTTTGGACCATTAGAGGGGTAAAATGGTCTTTTAGACTTCTAAGAGAACATAGGAAGGGACTAGTCTACCCTTGAGAGCCGTTATTGATTTGAGATGATTACTTTATATGTTTAGGCGAGGCTAGGTCATTGTTACGAGATTCAGGGATACCAAGCACGTGAGTTACTAGACAGCATACGAGGTGAGTCTTCTCACTATACATTACCTAGAGTGGTATCTATGTGCAGACCGGAGGGTCTTATCAGTTATGTGATTACTTGAGATTATGTGCATTGTGATTTATGTATGCTATGTGATATTTAGACCGGACCGGAGGGCCCAACGATTTAGACCGGGACCAAAGGGTCCAACGATTTAGACCGGACCGGAGGGTCCAACGATTTAGACCGGACCAGAGGGTCCAACGAGCTAGACCGGACTGGAGGGTCCAACGAGCTACGGGACTGAAGGGTCCCGCTGAGACACATTGACCAGAAGGTTATACCGAGTTATAGCATCGAGTGGCTTATGTGTTGTATGTGGTATTTTGGGGAACTCACTAAGCATTTATGCTTACCGTGTTATGTGATATGTGTTTCAGGTACTAGCGAGGATCGCGGGAAGGCGTCGGCATGATTTGTACACACTGGCAGAGGATTATGTTTTGAGATTCTGGGATATGTTATTTGTGATGACATTGATACATGGGATTTTTGAGAATATTATATGAGTTTTATTATGTTTGAAAAATGAAAAATTGTTTTGAAATTTACGTCGTTACAAAAGGCGTGGCAGTAGGTGTTGCACCAGAAAGCCAAATGCATCACTAGATTGTATTGTACAACACAATAACATATTCTTGGAGGATTTTTTTGCTCATGTAACTCAAGTTGCCCATCGACTTAATTAAATAATTAATCATAAATACAAAATGTTTGGAAAATTTATCAAACAATAAGCCAATAAACCTTTTTCAACATTTTTTTGTTAATTCAGTTATTATTAGCATCAAAGTCTTGAAAAAAAAATCAAACTGGACTCCGTTCTAGTTCAAAAAGCCCAGTCCAGTTAATTTTTAATTTCGATTTAGACTGGTTGATGACGGGCCCAGCCCAATAACTTGTATATCATACTGATAAAAGAATTATTTGTGTCTATTTATTTGGAGATTCATGTGTAAACATTTTTTATGGGTGTTGTAATTAAATTAAAAAAAAACATATATAATTTGCTTGTATATCATATTGATAACATATTTCTAGCTACAATATTTTTTTTTCAAAAAAGAAAAACTTTAAACAGATAGAAATATATGGAGGAAATTACAAATTTGATCCATGTGTTAGCTTGGTCAAAGTTTTGATTTTTTTTTCTCAAAAACATCTCCATGACTCCTTATTGTTAATGATGTGGTCAATGAAATCGTTAGTCTAACCATAAAGTATTAAATTTTAAGAGTATTTTAGTCTTTCCTTTACAGGTCAAATTGGACATGTGCATTGCATATAAGAGTACTTTAGTTTTTCCTTTACCGTCAATTATCGTCATCTGTTGCATCATTGGTCCCTTCCATAGATGTATGTTACCCCCATTTTTTCCTAATTCATCCAGCTACCTAACTCTAGATATTAATTTCTCGTTCACCATAATTTGTTTTGCTAGAAATTCGTTTTGAATGAGTGATATAGCAAAATGAATGTATCATACAGGGGAACACAAATATATAACAATTTATCCACTTTAAGATGTTAAGGGTTTGAAAATCGGCTAAACCAATTTTTTAACACAATCTTAACTTCCCACACAAAGAGTTGTATTGGTAACCGACCTTCTAGTACTAACACATTTAACCCGTCAACATCCATGCACGCCACTAACCTCAAGTTACAAAGACTTGTTAATAACAATCCATTTTCCAAGATTACATTTTAAGTACCTTAGTATTCTAATGGCTCAAGACTTGTTAATAATAATCCATTTTCTAAGATTACATTTTAAGTACCTTAGTATTCTAGTGGCTAACGTTAAATGCGACTTCCATAAAGCATATACGATTGGCTCAATGTTTGGATAACAAACGAGATATTTGGCCTAGTGATGCCGAATAAATAAGTTTCCCAATTAACTTTAGATAACCTGTTAAAACACGTAAAAGACTATCGTTCACATCAAGTCCTTTGTTATTAATAATAACTAGAAAAGGACACGCGGCTCTGCCGCTTTTTAAAGTTTCCAAAGTTGGGTAAATATAGTGGCAAAATTCTAAAAGAGGTTTTTTGTGTTTTTTAATCAAAATGTAAAAGTTTTGACTACAAGGACGAAAAGTGTCAAATTCATTAAAGCTTTGTGGCAAAAACACCAAAATGTAAAACTTTTGACTGTAAGGACTAAAAGTGCCAAAGTCACTAAAGATTTGTGGCAAAAACCTAAAGTCATAAAAACTTAATCAAAACATAAAAATGTAAAAGTTTTGATTTTAGGGACAAAAAATGTCAAATGCACCAAACATTTGTGGCAAAAACCTAAAATCAAAAAATTTACTGTTACTAAGATCCTTTGGATTTAATATATACTAGTAAAGAACCCGCGGCTATGCCGCTTTTGGGGTAATATGGAAAAAAATCGGCAAACTTTAAAAGATATGTGCTGAAATTGTAAATCACCATAAATAGGGAAGAAAGTCGACAACTCCTGAAATTAGATGTCAAAAGTGTACAACGAAAAAAAGGGACACTGGTGGAGAAAATCCAAAATGTTGTGGCAATAATATTAAAGTTGTTAACGTTGGGAAAATATGTTGGCAAAATTTTAAATGAGGTTTTTTGTGTTTTTTATGTCAAAATGTAAAACTTTTGACTACAAGGACAAAAAGTGTCAAATACATTAAAGAATTGTGGCAAAAACACCAAAATGTAATACCTTTGAATATAAGGACTAAAAGTGTCAAAGTCATTAAAGATTTGTGGCAAAAACCTTAAGGCACAAAAACTTAATCACAAGGCAAAAATGTAAAAATTTTGACTTTAGGGACTAAAAGTGTCAAGTTCAACAAACTTATGTGGCAAAATCATAAAGGCTAAAAGAATACTATTCCTAAGCTCCTTTGGATTTAATATATATATATATATATATATATATATATATATATATATATATATATATATATATATATATATATATATATATAATGAACATATCTAATAGGGTGTTAACATGATTACGCCAGGGGCGGATTTACATAGGTGTAAGGGGTATCCTATGTGACCCCTCAAATTTTGTTTATAAGCATAAAAATATTCATACTTTTTTATAAGCATAAAAATATTCATTCTTTTTTATCTTGCGGTGCTACCCAGTAAAAACTATGGACTAATTATATTATATATTACACATAATTTTTTGTGTGGTACTCTAGAACTTTAACCTTGGCTTCGCTAATGGCTTTAACACATATAGTCCATACTCATGCAATAATTCCACAACAAAATAAATAAATAAAATATTGACCCATACAAATTAACCCCATCTCAGTATTGGCATTTTCAATACCAAGAAAGAACTTCAAAACACCCAAATCTTCAATTACATATATTTTTTTTAAACTTTTTTTACCTTATTTATTTCTTCTACAATACAATGTAACGTCTGTGTTTCCCACTAGACATTAATAAAGATGATGAAGTGGTTAGGGTCAATAATTGTAATCTTTTGAGGTTAATAAAAGAGGGTTATTTGATTATTACGTGGTATATATATATATATATATTATATATATATATATATATATATATATATATATATAGGCTTAGGTTATTCTATTTAAACTAATTATTGTGTTATTCTATGCATAAATGTGGGCCAATCATTTTATTTATTTTAAGAAAGTGATTAATACATATTATTAAATTAAAGATAATTAAAAAAATATCATCTAATTTCATTCTAAGGGTATTTTAGACAATTGAGAAAATTTTAAAAAAGGAAAATTCCATATTTTTTGGGATAATTAACTCTCTTGATTTTAAAATTCTAATTTTTTTAAATTACTTTAATTTTAATTATAACGTAATTTTTATAATTAAACCCGAGTTTATTCTGTTAGAATGTCATTCTGTTAAAATCATATTCTCTAGGAATTTCAGGATATATATTTCTATTAGAATGCCAACACCGACTAATAACAAATTTTTGGATACAACTTCAAATTTTTCATTACATTCTTAAAAATGTAAAAACTTTATATAATAGTCTATTACAATGAAATATTCATTAATAACAAACAAAACCATGTGTATTATTCGACCTGAATATTCTAGCATAATATATTATTACATATACTCCTATCATTCTATTGTAGATTATTCTATCAGAAGAACAACTCTTTCCTTTGTGAAGACCAGTGACAATTGTTCAGCCATCATCTAATCTTCAAGCCCTTGATCATCAATGAAATTAGACATTTTACGAAATTAACTGCCATGAATCAAATCATGTAATAATAATATGTGGACTTGTGAATTGCACCAAAACCAATAACCAAGAATTGTAGAACATGCATAAATCAGTGAGAAAATATTCATACTCCATTCCAACAGAATTAGAATTCATGATTACATTCAAACAGAATTGGAATTCATGATTCCATTCCAATAGATTTGGAATCTCACCAATATCATCCATTGAATTATATACATAAACAAATTGATTTTTATCATATAAGAAGAAGAAAATTTGATATGGAAATGGTAACAAACTATCTTCACTTTCAAAATAGTCAAAATAGTGGTCAGATTTATAAAGTCTTTTAAAGATATAAAAATGATGCCAAGAAGTAAAATGCATTTATAGTGTTACCTGCAAAGGGGAACTTTACAAGTTGAATCAGGTAGTTCGCAGATGGAAGAATGGAGTTTGAAGAGTTGCCACCGCCTTTTGCACCTAACACACCCTCCATTCATTCTTTTCTTACAATGTGCCACGTGTTGAATCGAGAGTTGCAGGCCTTGACATGTTGAGAATTTGCTACATGGATACATGTTCTTGGTGGGTTCTTTGTTGCATGGTCCTACACTTATGCAACCTTCTGTGCAAATATATTCTAAACAATCCATGGCTTCACTCAACTGAAGATACAAGTTCTGTTCTTTCCTACGCTTCTTGCTTCTCTTCCTCAGCTGCACATTAATTTAATCGGAATCAATAATCAGATAGAAAGCAATTTATTAAACTGATTAATGTTTGATTTGTTGAACATAAACATATACACTTTTTTTATTTGTTATTAAGACCACTTAAAGAAGAAATTAGTTTTAACAGAATACTCACCGATTCAGATTCATCGATGACCTGGAGGGTTTCGAGCTCGAGGAAAGGATCATTGGTTTGAAGAAACTTCCAGCCTTCAGTTTTCTAAACAACTTTGAAGTTGTTAGACACAAGTTTTACACATTTGAGGTGAAGATCAGGTGCGTTACAAAGTCTCGCAAATTGAAGAACATCAGCTACGTTCTCAATTGTTAACCGTTTCGATCAAGGCTTTGCTACAACGCGATTTCAGTTGTGGGACCAGGTAGACATGAGAAAGCGCCAATAGATGAATCCTGAATTTCTCCATGTCGTCTTCTGTGCACCTGAAAACGATGGCGTTTTAAAGATAAAGCATTTTCATCGCTAGGGTTTGCCAGGATTGCTCGGGTGCAATACTCTTCAGCCCTCGAGAAATCACCTCGCACCTGTTTGAATGAATCAATCAGATCAAAATTGGCCAATAGATCGTAAGCCAAATGAAACTTGATATGGTAAAAGAAGAAATTAAAATCCGTGAATGATGAATATTGTAAATTACCTCAGGTATTTCGCGTAATTGCTGAGAATCAATGAATTACCTCAGGTAAATTACCATTACCACCACCGCCTCCACAGATCTTTTCACCACCGTCGCTTCCACCGGTGTGCATGAACTCCTATGGCCATCCTGCCCCTCTACATCGGTGGGATTGAAGTTAACGAGGAAGAAAGGATGGTGGAATGGTTGATTATGGAAGAAAATTGAGAGAAACGAGAAAGAATTCTCAGTGGCGAGATGAATTGATTTCGTTCTTCAATTTTATCGGTGGAGGAGTGAAACACGATTGCCAGAATCACAACATCAATCCCTAATAATCTGGTGGTGTTGACCAAAATTATAGGGACTATTTGTGGAAGTTATTTATCAAATTACTAAAATATCCTTGTTTATTTATTTAATTATTTAAATTTTTATTTAATTTTGATTGGCCCACATTTATGCATACAATAACACAATAATTAGTTTAAACAAATGAACCTATCTCTCTCTCTCTCTCTCTCTCTCTCTCTTATATATATATATATATATATATATATATATATATATATATATATATATATATATATATATATATATATACATTGTGTGTTTATAGCTACGTAATAAATTAGGGATAGAATTTGTAAATAGATTAAAGATTAGGACGAATTTCCTATGAGTGAGACGAAGTAGTCGTAATAAGGATTTCGGAGGTATAAGGAGCATTCAAAACGGACTTATAACGGATGAGTTATGACTCGTTGAAGTTTCACGTTCGGCACGGCTACGATATCGTAAATAGCAAATTGGAGTTAGGGCGATTATTAGCCTTAGTAATCTAAAAGAAAGTCGTAGTAATCGTTAAACCGAGAGCATATATATAGAGAACGCCCCAATTTGACTTCGTAAGAGGAACTTAGGATTTTTAGAAGTTTCAGCATAGTAGTATACGGCTCAGAAACCGAAGTAGAAATTGATTGATTGTTAGGAAAAGCAATATAAACAAGGGTTGAAAATCTCGTCCATATGGTTTCGTCGATATAAAGGCAGCCTAGAACGGATATCATATGAGGAAGTTATGAATTTTTAACGGACTTTAACATTCTAAGCTTGTTAAAAATATAGCTTTAAAAATAAAGTCAAAATTAGCCGACAGAGTCTAAACGAAAGTTATAGACCTCGTCGAGAGATTTCCGGGGATATAAATAACGTCGAAAACTGAGCTCGTATGAAGAAGATACGATTTTCTGAAGTTTTCCGAGAAGCGCCTCACGCAGTTGGGTTGCACGGCACACATGTTCTAGAAAGTGGGGCGTGTGCCACCATATTTGTGACATGTGACAGAAAATGGGAGGAGCGATGTCTCAGGTGTGCGTGCGTGCACACTAGGCGCGGCGTGCAGTTGCGCTATAAATAGATTTCGGCTGTGCATTTGCTTCCTCACTCCCCATCATCCTCTCTCTCGAAATTCTCTCGATTTTAGCCCATTTCCCTTAGTTTTAGCCTTCGACGAAACCTTGCGATCCCTGAAGAAGTAGTAGCTAGCGAATAGAAGCTCTGCCAGTTCAATTTCCTAACTTCTGTCTGGAAGAACCTCTGTAAGTTAAGATACACTCTAGTCTTTTCTGTGTAACTTATATTTATAGTCATAAGTCGTCATTATGAACCTATAAATAAGATTTATCAGTAATTCCATGTCGTTATACTGATTGATCTACTTATGGGAGAGGTGTCTAGAATGGTCATATTGGTTTGGTTGTTGGATTTCAGAAAAGCTATTATGCCGAAATGATTCTGCCTCCCAACTGTCCTTCGTGGCTAATCCTTACTTGATAGATCTTTATGTAGACATTGGTATTAGTGAGGATCAAGACTATTCTTAGTCTCCAGGATCATTAGACTAAAACTCTATAGTAATTATATTTAGGTAACGTCAAGGAATATCTGAGGTGTTAGACGAAGCTGTGACATCCCCATTTTCACGGCCAGAAAAGACCGATTTTGTTTATGCTTTATAAAAATCAGAGTACCTCTTTTAATAAAAACGTTGCGGAATTTGTTCCCAAAAAAACATGATAAATACATTATCAAAGCATTTTCGAAGAAATGTATTTTTATCCATTTTAAAACATTTGGGATGTCATCGTCAATACAGAAACATAAGCATAAACAGATCTTACATTCATTTACACTAGTGATCTACATCTCTTTTAAATCCCTCAGTGTAAAATAGTTTCATATCGACACCTGTGATACAAATAAGCTTGAGTGGGTCAGGTTGGGAAAACTGGTGAGTACATAGGGTTTTCAACCCACAATAATTTAATTATTATGTTTAAACATCAAACAATCAACCCAATTACCCATCCCCATTATCTTCCTTACTCTTAAGGATCTACCCTAAGAATCATCTATCCTTCATTCGTTCATTTCGAAGCCCATTGCTTCCAGGGTTTATATGATAGGCACTAAGTCCATAGCTGTCAATGCTTGTTCGTAAAGCACTAATTCCATAGCTGCTAAAGTTCATTCATCGGGTACTAAATCCATAGCTACCAGTGTTCAGCTAATATGTACTAAATCCATAGCTACCAACGTTTATTTAACAGGTACTAAGTCCATAGCTACCAAAGTTTATCTAACAGGTACTAAGTCCATAGCTACCAATGTTTATTCGATAGGCACTAAGTCTATAGTTGCCGATGTTATTTTTTAGGCACTAAGTCTATAGCTGTCAATGTTCACTCATATCATCTTTCATCTCTCATCATTCATCTACCCATGTTTTACCCAACATATTCGTAGATATAAAATACATATAAAGTTTAAATTATTTAAAACATGTATAAAATCGTTCATCCAGCATAGATAGCAAGTATACAGGTTATATGCACACATAGCACGTAATTTATATAAAATACTTCATATCTATGTGTAAGATGAAAGTAACTATGCACTCACTTGTTAAAGTGATGATTCCAAACTCGGACAGCGCTTCGCTTCTTAACAATATAATTTCCTTCAACGAAACCTAGTATTATTACCACTAGATTTTAGTCTAATATTTACCGTGACTAATTATTAGTCTTAACATTATTATTATTATATAAGCGTTTAAACAATATTTTCCAACCACTATGTACAGACAGAGGCCAGACATAAAACACCGGAGGGCAGGACCATTTTGGCATATAGCACTTCTGAAATCCAACAACCCTATGCAACCCTTTAAACCAGATTCCCCGTACCGCGAGTAGTTAAAAAGATATTATAACGACACTTATATAAGTCATAATAATAGCCAAAATATTTATTATAAGTTCATAATAACAATACTAATTTTAAATATAAGTTATATTTAAAATATGGTAAGCATAACTTACTTATAAGGGGGTTTTAGCTAGGAGTCGGGCTCTGCAGGGTCAGAACTTCGTCGTTGAATCTTTCTAAGAAAGATTCTTGCAGCGATTCAGTGCTTACCTTACTGTACTAAAACTACAGAAAGAGAAGTCGAATCACGAGGGACCGAAATGCTCGGGGAATAAGAAGAGAAAGACTCTTGAATCAAGAGAATGGTGCAAGAAATATGAGACCCTAGAGGATCTTATTTATAGTAATTGAATTTTCAAAAAACCACCCTCTATATTTACTTAAATGACTAAACACCCCTTTATAATACTATTTTAAATAGATTTAATGATATTTGTACTAAATTAATGTCGAAAGTATTCAACATTAGTCTTATAATGACTGCATCGTCGATACCTTTCTAATGATATATACATATGTATATATATGTAGACGTATATATGATTTACGCTTTATTTTATTACGTAAATGTGCTATTAAAAATTATAACTCGTTCATACAAACTCCATTTTTGACGTTCTTTATATTCACGAGTTGGTATTTGTCACACCCCCAAACCAAGGATGGCGGAAACGTCCGGGGGTGGCGGACTTCATGTATAGTATCACAACAACGAGTATAATAGTGCTCATAGTAAATACAACCATCATAAAAATATAATTGAAAAAGTTAAACCATAGTATGAGTTACATGTTTCAAAATCAATTACATCATGATGACAAAAATGTATAAATTGACGTCTTGCGTCCCATCCTCAAAATCATGTGGTTACCTGTTTCACTGATTCCCTGAGAATACAAGTAGTTTTGAAAGAGTGTCAACAATTAAGTTGGTAAGTTCATAAGTTTTTGGTTGTAGTGATTGAAAAACCCTTATTTGTATATGTAATGTATATGCAAGAAAAATCCAATATTTTCCTTATAAAATGTTATGTAGTCTTAAATCCCAAGACCGATTACATGAGTATGTTTCGTAATTATAACGATGAATGCAGTTTTAAATAGATAAAACCCTTTTTAAATTAGAATTTCCCGTAAACTTTAAATGTTGTTAACTTCCTATGTGAGTCGCTATAACCATACTACAACCCCGGATGACCTGCTACAACGTTTTTCAGGCGTTAGAATTTGTTATGACTTTTGTCACCCATAGACCTGCAGGTCCCACTGTAGCTAGCAGCAAGGTGTGGGGTGTCAATCCCAATATAGATCTATACACAATTATCACGCTCTCCCTACAAGAGATTCTGGTTATAAGTTACAGGAATTTTTAACCCGCACTCTAAGAGTACAATGGAGAATTGTCTCACAACTTACGTTAACGAGTTTACGTGTAGTGTTTGAGTAAAAACTGTTTTCTGGAATTTCCCTTTTTGTGTATTAAAACAGTGATATGAATTTATTAAACTATACCTATTATAGTTTATCATGTAGTAGTTGAAACCCGTTTGTATTATGGTAAGACCCTTCTTGTGTATGTAATAATTTAACCAATGCATAATTATACTTGTATATTTCATCTTGCATTAATTTTAATTACAAAGGACTCTTATAATTTATATAGAGTATTTTCTACTATATAACATATCACAACAGATAAACACATGTAAAATACAAAGTCATCAAAGGTTACACTTTGCTCAACATGTTACAAAGTGTTATGACTATTGTAAACTATTAACTTGTTTTTAACTTTCCTACACTGTTTTAGAAAAGTCATAGAAAAATCATACGAAGTCAAAAACCAAATCCGTAAACTCTA